CTTATTCACATGTCTGTTCAAATGTAAATGAGCTTCATCTCCCATGATCAACTTGTGAATAAACTCATTGTCATTTCTTGCAGTTCTCTGAAACCTGACAGCATAATTTAGTCGTTTCTGAAAGTTTGGTGGTTGTAAAGATTGCACTAATTGAATCTTGTAAGGGTACATGTGCAAGTTTCTTTGAATGCGCTGCAGAGAACTCTGTGAGATGCCAAGTTCTTGAGAACGCCTTTGAATGGATGTGGTTGGGTTCTCTTCAATGCTACGGCTCGCAGCTTCAGTATTTTCACGTGTACGTTCTGAATGACCTCGTCCACTTCTAGTCCTATCACTTACAGAGCCATGCTCTTGAAAATGCATCACTAAGTTTATTATTGCAGGCCTACTAGGGAGATGTTGAACATTAAAATGGCGCATATACGATCTTTGCGTTGCAAGAATTGAGCGTCCATTTTCAAAGTAAAATTCACTTATCTTCACTCGTTGTTCTATTGTAAACGTATCCATGCTAAAAATTTCCAAAGATTATTTTTTTTAATTCTGAAAAGAGAAATAGAAATATATTAATAGAAAAGTTATTTAATTTTGAAAATGTAAAGTGACTTATGGGCCACCCTGTATATATATATATATACATATATATATATTTTTTCTGTTCGTCTTCCGACAACCCTACATCTATAGTAGCTCTTATTGCTGATGAAGTTTTTACTCCTGCCTTAACAAAATGTCTTCTCTTTTTGATTGCTTAGAACAGGCAGCCAATTTTGAATCTGATCTTATTTCTGTATCAGATTGGGACTCACATATTTTGGCTTATAAATTTTAACTCCAACAAAACTCAGTTATTTACTGCAAACAACTTCCACAATACTGTCGACATTACTATATAATAAATGGCAACCCTCTCACTAAGTCCTCTTTTTTACATATTCTTTGATTATCCTTTACTACTGACCTTTCATGTAAACATAATATACAATCAATTGCTAAATTAGCATCCCTTTATCATTATCGTCAATTTCTTACCCTTGATTCCATTCTCTACCTCAACAAATATTTTTTTGTCCCTGTATAGAATGTTATTGTCATATCTGGGTCGGTTCTTCTTATGATGCCCTTTTTCTTCAAAGTAGTACCGGTAGACCATTTCTTTATACTGGTCTGATTAGGTGCTTTTATACAACTAGATTACTAGTAGATTTTTTTTTCTTTCGTTACATTTTTTTCCTTACTAAAAATGTTGAATTTATAGGAAAAATTTATAACCGACTTTTTACATATATTTCCCTGATTATTGTTTTTCATAAACTCAGAATGTTTCCAAAAACGCATTGTAAATGTTGTTGAACTATCTGCTAAGCTTGATCCTCTTTTCCATTGTCATAAAGTTCTCTCTCTTTTCTACAAATTCTATCATGGTTGCTGCTCAAAAGAGTTATCATCTCTAGTTCCATCAACAAAAACTCATTCTCACTTGACTCGTCATTCAGCTAAGTCTGATTCATTAGTTGTTAAATTTTATTAAATATAATAAATGTAAATAAACAATGTTTATTGTATCAATATACACTAAAACCAATAAAGATAAAATTGAGGAAGATAAAATTATCAAAGAAGTTTTTATACATGACTGCTTCAACCATGTTAACTTTTAAGCATACTAAAACAAAAATAAGTTCAGTAAATTTCAGTATTTATTGTCCTATTTAAATCAGAAATTAAAATATGAATTAAAATATTGCCATTAAAGTTAAATTTAGTAGTTTAAACAATGAAAAAAAAAAAAAATGGACCCCTGCGTTTTATCCCCCAAAAAACGACCAAAAAATCCCAAAAAAACAAGAACCAAAAAAATGTGTCATATCTCTATATATGTATGTATGTATGTATGTATGTATGTATGTATGTATGTATGTATGTATGTATGTATGTATGTATGTATGTATGTATGTATGTATGTATGTATGTATGTATGTATGTATGTGTGTATGTATGTGTTAATGTGTGTATTTCTAGTGATATTGTTAAATCTATATTTATTATTTAAGGCACACTACTCAATTATAAAATCAGCTGCAATGATTGGAATTGGCATTGATAATGTTATAATCATCAAAACTGATGAGCGGTAATTTTTATTTTATTTTTTTAGTATACATATGATGTCAACTTTGTAAGAAATTCTCTTAAGTTTTAATGATGGGCCAATTCAGCATAAAATCATCAATATTTTTATCTTTTAATTTTCTGCCCATATGTATTTTGACAGATGGTATCTTGAATATTTTCTATTTTTAAAAGATTGCCTAAGATTAGCAAAATGTCCATTCACCTTTTGTTAAGTCAATATATTGTTTATCAGGTACATTCTTAGAGAAAAAAACACACTTATTGATTTTATTTTTGGTTTAAATTGAAGTTTTATTAATTTGATCATTCATTTCTGACTAGTCTTTATTGATGCAACACAGTGTTAAATAAAAAATTTTTAATATATAATTATTTATATATATACATTTATGTTTTTTTGTCATGACTGTCCTAACAAAATATCCAATATTAAAAAACAACAAATAAAACAACCCAATCAATGATGTAGGAAAAAAAGTATAAATGATTATTTAAAACCATGTAAGTTATGTTGAAAAATGCACTTTAACATTATCAAAGTTCTCAATTAAGGTTCTACTATACGATTTTTAAGGCTACTCAGCAGGATTGTAAAAAAACGTCAAAACACGTTTTTACAACCCTTGCTACTTTAAAACCATGTTATGGTATGATAGAATGATTTTTTAAAATAATTTTTTTGCTTAAAAGTGTTTTTAAATTGTTAAAAAAAAAGTTATGGAGTTTAGTATGTGTTTTCATAAATTTTCCTTTTTTTTTTCTTCCTCTTTTGCGGAATTGCCAATATACACGAGTTTAATCTCTGTGTCAAATATTGTGAACTTTTTATAGCCTGAATTGTTATTAAGAGGTTTGTTACAATTTTGGCCACAATCCTTAAAATAAATGAATAAAAACTTATTAACTTGTAAAAAAATTATTAATCTTAATAGTTATTAATCAAAAGTAATTCATTAAAACATGTATTAGATTTAAGATAAATATAAAAAACTCAGTAACAAGTACAAATGATTAAACAATGTTTTAAGGGGAAAGATGGTCGTTTCAAATTTAGAAGTGGAAGTTCAAAAAACTATTAAAAATGTATGTTTAATGTAATTCTTATGTTTATTAATATTTTGTAGTAATAGTTTTTTTATAAACATTGGATGATTTATTTACTTTTTCTGTTATTGTTATTTTGGCTTATTTTATTTATATACTTTTTACTATTGATAAAATCTAATATTAAAAAAATCAATGAATAAATACTTATGTTTAACTTGATGTTATTTAATTTACAATTTAAGGGTGGTGAACCTTTTTGTGTGTGTGCAACTGCTGGAACAACTGTTGTTGGAGCTTTTGATCCTTTCAATGAAATTGCAGATGTTTGTGAAAAATACAATCTGTGGATGCATATTGATGTATCTATCTCAAATTTTTATTTAAACACATTTTAAAGTACTCTTTGATTGTAAAAATATTTAATAAACCAATAATTTTTAGGCTTGCTGGGGTGGGGCTTCACTGCTATCTAAAAAACACAAGCATCTTATGGATGGAGCACATAGGTTTACAAATTTTAATTTAAATGACTGTTAAATTGCTTACACATGGCTAAAAAGATCTAATCACTCATTATTTATCGTTTAGTTCAGATAAGTGTATGCATTTATTACTAGAAAGCTTTTTACTTCAAAGTGTAACATTTGAAAAAAATTATATATTGACAAATATATTTTTTATTCAAAGTGTAACATAAAAAATGAAGAAATTACAAAAAATGCCTTTTAATACTTTACATGGACTTTTTTAAACTTTCAAAACAGACTTTCAAAAATAGCCTTAGCAGCTTTATGGCAACTTGAGACACAATATTCAGGTGTTATTTTATGATACCACGCTTTTATTATGGTTTTCTCAGATCTTTAAGTGATGCTGGTAGCGATTGCAGTCCCGGGATCCAGTGCTTTTTTATACACTCAAAATGGGATTGTTCAATATCAATCCTGGGATTCTCCTGGTCGAACAAAACAAAGTATAAAGAAAAAATACACTAAATCACTACAAATTGTGTGTATTAATTGTTTAGTATAACATTACAGAAACTAATTATATTTTTTCAGTTGTAAAAAAGTAGTAAAGGTAAAGATAGAATTTTTTCTATTGTCAAAAGATTTTGATACAAAAATTTTTTTTTTTTCTTAACATGATGATTAGTGTTTAGCAAGATAATTAGTGTACACAATTTAAAAGTGTAACACACAATTTAACACTATTTATACACAACCTTTTTAAAAATAAAAACAATAAATTTGTGTGCTGCAAACTGCTTAACTTGCGCTTTGTCTGAACATATGACATTTGCAACATCTAAACAGTTTAATCCTTGTGTTCTTTGCAAAAATTGAGGAAAACAGTATGGCTTTAATGCAGCACGGCACAATTAAAAAGTGTCCCTGAATTGTGTGGGTTTGTTATGTAATAATATGTAATTTACACAATACTTTTGCAAGGTTAGCATATGAAGTTGTAGCCATACTCTCAGGTAATTATGTGGCCATACTCGAAGATAACAATGATTGAATTACACATGATTTCAATGTATTTATAGTATATAATTTTTCTGTTATTTAATAACTATGCAATCACCTATGCAATTTGTGATTTTTAGTGTGTTGTCAGCATATTTTACATATATTAGAAATTATCTATTGTAACTTTGAGTGGTCAGAACTTTTTAGCTGTCGACCTAGAGGTGTTTTAGGTGGACAAAAAACCATCAATTTATATATATGTAAATATATATGTATATATATATATATATATATATATATATATATATATATATATACACTACCGCTCACGGAAGTTAGGACAATGGAGATTTTTTCAAAAAAGCAATATTAATATGTAACTACATTATAGAATTTTTAATTTATATTAATAAAAATTATATTTTTTATACATATTTCAATATAAAATATATTTTTAGTCTTTTTTATGCAATAAAACTTTATAAAAACCATTATAATAAATAAATTTTTTTTTCGTCAAAAAAACCACCCTTTGATTTAATAACTGCTTTAACTATTCTCGGCATTCTTTCAATTAATTGTTTATTTTTGAATATTATTCCATTCCTGTTCTATAATGTTCCATAAATAAGGTTTTGATGTTGGACATATAGTTCTAATTTTTCTATCCAGTTCATCCCATAGTAACTCAATGGGGTTGAGGTCTGGGCTTTGGGGAGGCCAGGTCATTACACGTAATACATTTTCAGCTTTTTTTGACTCTAAAAAATTTGTACATAATAATGCAGTATGTTAAGGGCCATTATCATGCATCAGAATAAAATTATATCTGATAATCGATGTCCCGAAGGGATCATTGTTTCCAGGATATCTCTGTAATGTTATTTTCTCATTATACCATTGACTTTATGCAAATCTCTCACTCCATCGAGAGAGAAACAACCCCAAACTATCACAGTGTTTTCACTGTTGGAACCAGACATTGAGTTAGCATTTTTTCTTCAGCAGATCTTCTAACGTAAACTCTTTGCTTATTTCCAAAAACTTCAAACTTTGACTCATCAGTCCAGAGTACTTGCTTCCGTTCATCTATTGTCCAATTTTTGTGGAACTGTGTCCAACGGAATCTATTCTGTCGATTACTTTTTCGTAAATATGGTTTTCGAATAGCAACACAACCATGCAAATTAACTTTTTGCAATCTTTGTTTGACTGTACTGACAGAAGCTTTTTTTTCTTGATCACAGTTGAAAATAGTTGTTATTTGTAGAGAAGTTAACATTCGATTATATTTACTGATGACTTTTATGTCGGTCATCAGTTTTTGTTGTTATGCAAGAAGGACCTGGACAATTTCTGTCTTCCAAACTTCCAGATTCTCGATATCAACAAATTGTATAACTAACTGTTGATTTACTAAGGTTTAATTTTCAGCAATTTTTCTAACTGTCTTCTTGAAGCAAAGTAAGTATTGCTGCCATTTTTTCTACAATTATTGGCTTACCTTTAGGCATATTTTTTCCAATATTTTGAATCTACACTAAAAAAAAATTTAATTTAAACTCAAGGTGTAAGTTTTTTAAAATTTCAAGTGCAGAAGTTCAATTTTGAACTTTTGTACTTGAAATTTTAAAAAACTTACAAAAAATACACAAAATATCTGCATATAAAAATACAGTAAACAATAGAAATGCTTGTTAAATGACAAACTTAAAAAATTTGATTTGATAATGTAAAAGACAGGTTGATTTGTGAATTTAATATGTTTCTCTGTTAATTAATTTAAATTGATAAGGCTTTTACTTGCAAGTACTATTTACATTAAAATAACTTAATTTAGAATTTTTTTATAGAAACTTTATTTAACTTGATTTATTTTTATATAAACATAAATTTTAATAATATAAATTTATATTTTTATAACATAATTACGTTTTATTTTTGTTGTTTTGAAAAAATATTTTTTGTCCTAACTTCTGTGAGTAGCAGTGTGTATATATATATATATATATATATATATATATATATATATATATATATATATATATATATATATATATATATATATATATATATATATATATATATATATATATACATATATATATATATGCACACACACATTCACACATACAAAAGATAAGATTTTATATTTTTTATTTAAGGGCAGATTCTATATCCTGGAATCCACATAAAATGATGAATGTTTTATTGCAATCTTCTATCTTGTTAACAAAAGAAAAAGTATTACTGTTTTGAAATTTGATTCTATTTTGTTTTCTTATTTTTTTTATCTGATTGTTACAATATGACTAATTTTGTTCATTAATAATATAGGGGTGGCAAAAGTTAATTAGACCCACCTGATTTTCAGGTGGTTTTGCTTTATTTCTATTAGCTCTTTAATGGGTTAATAAACGAGTTGAATGTGTCATTAGAATTAATGGGTTAATAAACGAGTTGAATGTGCCATTAGAATTAATGGGTTAATAAACGAGTTGAATGTGTCATTAGAATTAAATTTGCCAAAATCAAACTAAATAAATGAATCAGTTTAATAAAACATGTACAGTGTTCTCATTATTCTTTGCTAAAGATTCTGAATAAATTGATTCTATAATAGTTTAGTTGCATAAAATAATTATGTAAATATAAAATAGATAAACATCAAAATCAAATTTCTGATAACATGTACCCTTCCATTAAAGAGAGTCCATTAGAGTGGTTTATTTTTTTTATTGCTTTGTCTTGAATTTTTTTTAAAGATTTTTAAGTCCTATTAAAAGCCCTGGACAATGATGATACAAATTAGCAGGTTTAGAGCCATTCTACTGAATACATCCCCATAGCTTTTGCTAAAGTTCCGAGCTATCAAAAGGATATTTTTTAATCAATGCATTGTTAGTTATATGTTGATATTGATCACAAAATCCTGCATATCTGTTGACATTTTTGTTGACATTGGTCCACTTATCTATTAGATGGATTTTACTGGATTATTCAATAGTTTTTTAACCAGATGAATTTTACTGGATTATTCAATAGTTTTTTAACCAGAAAATTATCAATAGCAAATTATTATTTATTCAGGAAGTTGTAGGAATCTATTCACTATTTAAAGCGTGCACAATTTACTATGTAAATTTTACTATATTATTTTACCATATTATTTTACTATATTATTTACTTGTTTTAATGTTATGTAAAACTATTTTTAGGATTTGTTTAGAGTACAGAACAGTTTAAATGCATCTTATCTTTTTCAAAAAGATAAATTACTTTATGATGTATCTTGGGATATAGGAGATAATACATTTCAATGTGGTAGACATAATGATATTTTAAAGTTATGGTTGATGTGGAAAGCAAAAGTAAGACAAGAGGTTTTATTATGAATTTGCTGAATTTCTGTTTCAAGTTTTTTATGAGCTTTGCAGTTATGTTCTCAATAAATATTAGGCTATAGATATTCTCAATAAATGTTAGGCTATAGATATTCTCAATAAATGTTAGGGTACTTCTGGCATTGAAGAACAAATTGATCAAGCATTTTCAAATGCCAAGTATGAATGCTTTTTTAAAATTTATTTTTTGAAATCAATCATAAATGAAGTTAATTTTTTTAAATTGGTTTAAATATTCTATTTAATTGTTTAGATTATTTTGGTATTTTTTAATTTTATGACTCATAAAAACTTCTGTCTCATAAAAAAATTAAAGAATCAATATAATTATTGTCTATTTTCTCTTGTGTATAAAGTATTAATTTTTAATTCTTTCAAGTCATTGCAAAAAAAATTGGACTCTTAGATCCAAATTTCATTTGAGAGTTTAAAATGAGCATCATTTTATAATGAAATTTGGATATAGGAATCTTGTAAAATCTACATTCTTAAATGAAATTTGGATGTAGGAGTCTTAGAAAATCTACATTCTTAAATGAAATTTGGATGTAGGAGTCTTGTAAAATCTACATTCTTAAATGAAATGTGGATGTAGGAGTCTTGTAAAATCTACATTCTTAAATGAAATTTGGATGTAGGAGTCTTGTAAAATCTACATTCTTAAATGAAATTTGGATGTAGGAGTCTTGTAAAATCTACATTCTTAAATGAAATTTGGATGTAGGAGTCTTAAACTTTTTTTTTGATATTTGCAAAATTCATTTTAAGGTAATGAGTGATGTATATTTTACAACTGGAATTGTTTTTTTAAAAAGTTTTTTTTATATTTAGATACTTATCCAATGCCATTAAAAATAAAGAAAATTTCAAGTTACTCTTTGAAGTAAGTTTTATCATTGCCTTTTCTCGATGAAACAAACAAGATGAATATAAAAAGTAGAACAAAATAGACTTATATTAGGTGGCAAAATAATCTAATAAAGAGCAAAAAACTAAACTAATAAACAACAACAAGCTAAACTAATAAAGAACAACAAACTTTACTAATAAAAAACAACAAACAAAGAACAACAACCTAAACTAATAAACAACAAAAAACTAAACTAATAAAAAACATTAAACTATACTAATAAAGAACAACAAACCAAACTAATAAAGAACAACAAACCAAACTAATAAAGAACAACAAACCAAACTAATAAAGAACAACAAACTAAACTAATAAAGAACAACAAACAATATCACATGGTATTAAGAAATATTTTAAAATAAAGTGTTGTTAAGATTTTATATGGTATTATATTTTTTGTTTATATTTTAAAATTAGCCTGAGAGTTGCAATGTTTGCTTCCATTATATTCCACCCAGTCTCTTATCTATATCCGATCACACAGAAAGAACATCAAGACTATCTCAGGTATTTTTAATATATTTTTAGTCGCATAAAAAAAGTTTCATTCAGAAGCTTATTTTAGTTGAAAATTCATTAGATTTGTTACCGGTTCTTAATAGTTTTATTGTATATTATTTATTTAAATATTAGGTGAAAATTAAAAATTAAAAGACAACAATTTGATTAAAAAAATTTATAGCGAATGTTTTCTGTAGTCATCAAGCTAATGTTTTCTGTAGTCTAATGTTTCCTGTAGTCTAATGTTTTCTGTAGTTATCAAGTGTATAATCAAAGACATTGACTTGATTGTTGTTTTGTTTGCTATAACATTTGCTATTACATTTGGTAGAGTAAATATTAGTGTTTTTATCGACTTTGACTAGATCAACTAGTCCAAAGTTGAAATTAGTCAACTTTAAAAAACTATTAGTTGATTTAATTGACTATGGATTTCCTACTAATTGACTAAAAGGTGATTTAGTTAAGTAAAAATCTTAAAATCATTTTATCTTTTCATTCAATCGAACTTTTCAATCTTTAATTTTTGTTCATTTAATGATAAAAGCATGTATTTTTATAACTGCTACATAGTTTTTTGTTTATTCTCTTAAAGTTTTAATTCAAAGCATGGTAGCATTATTTATACCTAATTAAACTTTTGACTATGTATTCCATTAACTATTTTTTTCTTTTGTTAACTTGAATTGTTAACTGTTTTTTGTTATTGTTAACTGAAGTTGTTAACTGAAATTGTTGCCAGAAACTGAAATTGTTAACTGAAATTTTATTAACTTGAATTGTTAACTGTTTATGTTTTTCATAAATACTTTCATGCAGAGCCACTTTAAGCTGGCTTGGAGCTCTGGGTCAAATTTAAATTGTGAAACTCCATGATTTAAATTTTATCTATACAATCACATTTTAAATATGATTGTAATGACTTTTCAATATATAGCAAGTATTTAAAATGGTCTTTAAATCATTAGGGTCTGGGAAAAGATTGTCATGTTGTCAGAGCAGCCCTTCTCTCATATTGTTTTGCTCCAAATGATATTTTATTAAAAAACAGAAAGCAAAGATAAATTACTTTATTAGTTTTATTACTATTTATTTCAAAGTAAAAAATTATTTCCATACTTAGACTAAATTAAATTTTAGTCAACTTAGTCAATTTCAAAAATGTTTTAGTTGACTTTAGAAAATATATTAGTCAATTTTAGTTGACTTTAGAAAATATATTAGTCGATTTTAGTTGACTTTAGAAAATATATTAGTCGATTTTAGTTGACTTTAGAAAATATATTAGTCGATTTTAGTCGACCTTAGAAAATATATTAGTCAATTTAGTCGACAGTTGAATTTATTTAATAGTCATAACAATACTAAGTAACAACAACACTAGTAAATATTGTATATTTAACAATTATTATTTTAGTCAACAAATGTGTTTGATATTTTTAAATATGATATTTTTTGGATATAAGATAATATTTTACAAATACAAATGTGGCCAATTAGTCTAATTGCTCTTATATGGTTTTGGTCAGGGCCCTAGTTTTAATTCTTACCAATATTTTGTAGCTCAAACTTAATTTATATTTATATTTAGTTAATATAAATAATAAATGTTATTAAAATAAGTAAGATACAAAGAAGAAATAAAAAGAAAGTGTTAACGGCTGTAACAAATTAGGATTGATATATTCATGCTATTGCTAAAAATCCACTTTTAAAATGTTATGTGGCTGGTAAAAATCCACTTTTGAAATATTTTGTGGTTAATAAAAATCTACTTTTGTAATGTTATGATAAAAGTAACAGTAATAAAAATGCAGTGTCATTTTCTTTCGATTTTTTTTTCCTTATTTCAGAACTTAACTTGATTGCCCAAAGTTAAAATATTATTCACCAGTGTTAATAAATCATTCTCATTTGCCTTTTCAAAATAAATAGTAAAAATTCTTCAAAATAATTCTGATTTCCTTTTAAAACTTTTTTTATTTAAGTTATTATTTACTATTTTTAATATCAACAGACTCATCTTATTGTAAGAAAACGTTTTTAATACATTGTTCAAAATTCACATCACTTGTTCAAAAATGTTTGGATATTAGGGAAAGTGCTTTTTAGTTTTAAAGATTTACACATTTTTGTTGCTTGTAGTTTTAATAATAGTTTGCCCACTTTAAAGAAAATACTTGTTGTGTTTTTCTATATTCTCTTTTCCTTTATAAAATGCAAGTGCAGCTTTTTTCTCATAATTTTTTTACTAAGTCTATCAAATTTCTTTTTTTTTTAATATCTTAAATCTTATATATTCAATATTTAATATTTTTTATATTTAATTATTATATTTAAACGATAAATGATAATTTTCGTTTATTCAACTAGATTGTTTATTTACTAGTCGAAAAGGAAACATCGTAATAACAGAGCTAATTGAGACGATTTCCCTTCGTACCAAAGTACTACTCATACGCTGAGTAGGCGGAGCTGGGATTTGAACCTGCAATCCTGCTGCTACGGCCAATAAATATTCTGAACTTTATAGCAGCGCTTTAACCAACTGAGCTATCCCGGCTCAAAATTTATACTGATTTGTTAACAGTTTTAGTAATAAATGTCTATTTGTACCCTAAACTAATAGTTTAATGGGTAAAATTCTAATTGGGTAAAATTTTTTTTCAGTCTTTATTTTTTGGTATGAAACACACTTTTATTAATACTTGTTAGTCAAATATTTTTTTTTTGAAAAATATGTTAGTTAACCTTCCCATAGCTGTGGCCACTACAGTCCAGGAGGCTTCTAGAATTGTGGTTATAACTCTCTCTCAATTCTATAGCTCAGAAGCACAAACCTTGACAAACAAGTCTGCTGCATGGAAAAACAAATTGAGCGCAGGACTACTAAGAACTTGGGGATTGAACTCAATGGTATTAACAACAAAATTTTGGTATTAATAAAAAAATTAAGACATTTGAAATTTAATAATTAAACAAAAAGCTATATGCCATAAAATTAAACAAAAAATAAATTTACAAAACTGGTAAATAAATATAAATTATATACTAGGTTTGGTGTAAATAAAGTAAAAAATCAGCAAATATTCTTGAAAAAAATTCATGTTTATAAATCATTTTCAAAAACATCTGTTGAATGAAGAAAAAAAAAATTGGGGGATGACTCTTTTTATAAACCACTTTACTTAATAAATGGCTATTAATTTAGTTAAAAAAATTCTTACCTTTTAAATCTTTTTTTACCATTAAACCTTTTATTTTGGTAAGGTAACAATAGTATTTTAAGTTTGTATTTGTTTGTAATTTTTAATGTTATCTTTATTAATATTTATGTTTTAAACATTTAACCTAAATGATTTAAAAAAAAAAAATGAAATCCTCACTTTTTTTTTTGTAAAAGTTACAATTATTTTTTTAAAAGTTGATCATATTATAACCATTTATGTGCTAAAGAAATTAATTCCTTGTGTATATTGTTTTTATTTTGAAAGAAAATTTTTAAAAATAATAGTTTAAATTCTTGTTACAGAATGCGTGTTTTTACATTTTGGAGCTACCATATTTAGCACCAGTGCTAAATATAGTGCATCATCATTTAAAAATGTGCTAAGTTATTAAGTATCTGAGTTAAATGGACTTTGTTGTCATTTACCTGGAATAATTATACTTTTTCATGTAGAAATATGGTATATCATCAGTAATTTTTATGAATTTAAAGTAATGGAAAACTTTTAGCATAGTGAATAGACCTGTTATAAAGTAAACACTTAGATTGCCAATAATGATAAATTTATTCATTTTAACTTAACTTCATATATTTGAAAATAAAAAAATTTTAATTATTAGGTGTGTCCCATGATAAAGAAACACATGACGCTTGAAGGGACTCTTATGATTAACTATCAGCCTCTGAAAGAACACTGTAACTTCTTTCGGATGATAACTGTTAATCCTGCTGCTACTCAATCAGATATGGATTTTGTTCTTGAAGAAATTGAAAGGCTTGGGAAGGATTTATAGTTTGTAATTAGGGCTTTTACATCTTTTATAGTTATAATATGTATTTGTTAAAATTTCCATTTTTCAAAATATAATATGCACACCATTTTTTAAAACTTTTTATATTTAAATTAAAAATTACGATAGCGTTTGATAATTGAAATTTTTTATTGCATTTTATTAGCGTATTTAAAATTGTTTTTTATTGTAGATACATTATTGTAAAATGTTTTTCAAGTCACCATGTTTATGTATTATTATATATGTATATATTTATTAAATAATTGTATATGTTTTATCATAAATTAGAAGAAAGCATTAAAAAATGTTTTTGTCATTTTGTGTAAAAAATATCTTGAGTTTTACAACCCCACCACTGTTAAATAATATTAGCAAGGATAATTAGTGGGGTCAAGGATAAAATGTATAAAACATTCAACATTATATATGCATATATTTGGTATTTATATTAATATACTGGCATATGATATGCATACATATGTATATAAAATTTAATTGAAGTTGTGTAAATAAGAGAAGTTTTCACTTTCTATTTAACATTCTATTTCGATTTTCTATTTCTGAAGTAAGAACTTTCACTCTTTAAAAGATTAAGATATGTTGTAAAGAACTTGAGGGCCAAAGATTACAGAAAAGCTAAAAATACAATCGAAAACAAAAAATTTTTTATAAGAGGTTTTAAATCAGGGGTAGGCGAGACAAAGAAAAATAAAGACAGCTGTAGTTTTTTATTACAAATATTTAAAATAATTTTTGTACTTTATACATTAATATATAACTGAAACTAATGCTATATATAAAGAAATGATAAAAATAACCATTTATGTTATCAAGTGTTTTTTCAAATAAATTTATTTTATAAACCATATATTGTATAATAGATATTTTTTACAATCAATAAAGTTGAAAAAGCAATATTTAGAATAAAAAAAAAATATTTGTGTGTAATTAAAAAACTCTTTGTAAGTGTTTTTCTTTTTTTTATTTACAATTTGCCATTAACAAAATTGTTAATTACAAAGTTAAAACTAATATGTCATTATATTTTTTAAATGCAATGTTTTGAAGTTGATTATTATCAACTCAATTATTTTATTGTCAACATCATTATGTTAATATGTTATTTTTGATTGGTTACAAGATAAAATATAAGTTAGTTTTGATTGGTTACAAAAAGCTTGTAACTCTATAATTTGGGCATTCAACTGAAAAAAAAAGTTGTATGTAAGTATAAGAATTATTTTTGGCATATATTTTTAAATTTGTATTTTTCTTGGCTTTCCTTTCGTTTTTTTCCATTATACTAAAGTTTTCTTTTTTTATTTTGTTAATTATATTTTTCTTACAACTTTTTTATATATTTGTAGTTTATTTAAGTATTGTTTTTTTTGTTGTTGTTGTTGTTCAATCTTTTTAATGAAAGTGAAAAATTATAGATCATAAAAAGGTTGTATGGTATAAAATAAGTTAAATTGTATGGCAGCAGAAAACGGTTTAGTCCCTAGTGAAGATGGAAAGAAAATGAATTGTAGCTTTTGCAACTGTTTGTTGCCTTCTACTGCAAGTATATATTTTCATATTTTTCCAACAAAATATTAAAACTTGAAACTAAATATTTTTTTTGCATAAAAAAATATTTACCTTTTTTTTTTTTCTATACATTATATGATAGATAATGTATAGAAAAATATATAGATATTTTTTTTTTCAGAAAATTTTATCAATGCACATATTAGTGGAAAAAAACATATTTACAATGTTCAAAATCAACAAAATAAAAAAAATAAAATAAAAAGAAGTATTTACGTGAAAGGGTTCGATCCACTCATACCATGTTTAGAGAAAGAGCTGAAAAATTTTTTCAAAGCACTCCAGTGTGAAGTAAATGATATTTATGTTGATAAAAACATGGTAAATTATATTTTTTAATTTTGTTCAAACATAGCATGTGTGTGTGGATTTTATTTTAAAGTATTGATGTTAAAAGTATTGTCTTTTTTTGATGTTGCATCAAAGCAACATCTTGCTAATGATAAGTTTTAATTATTCAATTTTTCAGTTTTATAATTTTAAAAAAAATTATTTATAGATAATAAAAGCACTCAATGAAAAATATAAAATAGTTGAATTTTATTTCAATTATTTTTTTTTATTTTTAGTAATTTATGGTAAATGAATAGTTATTTTATAGTAATTATGGACAAATTAAAGCTTCAACAAAAATGACTTTTTTTGTTAAATGTCTAATAATATAATATGTTTCTATAAAATATCTGTCAGGTTCTTGGTGCACCAATTTATATTTTTTCACCAATATATATGTTTTAAATTTAAAAAAAAAACTGAATTACACTTTAATTTTTTAAATTAAAAACATACAAACATACTAATCATTTTCTGCTTACCAACTAAACCTCATTTCACAAAAAAATCTAATTGTAATTACTGGCTATTACAAAGCTATATTCTGGCAGGTTACTTTAAGTAGTGCAATAAACTATTTAAAATTTTTTTTTAAATAGTTTATTGCACTACTTAAAAAAATTTCTTGTAGCTGCCATATCAATAAATGTCTTTATTTCATTCAGAAATTCTAAAAGCATATTGGCTACTAAGCATTTCTCTGTATATTAATGCTTGTATTTGTAAAGACTTATTTATTTATCTTGAGTTGAAAATATGAGACAATATAAATATGAGACAATTTTTAAAAGTAGTTAAAGAAGTAATCAATAGTAATTAAAATTTAAAGTAATCAATAGTAATTAAGTAAAAAAAAATCAAAAAAAAATAAAGTTAAATAATATTTGTGACCCATCTAATGTTCAAGAGCCTTAAGGAAGTATATTAAATAAGAAATATAGACACACAATATATGTATGTGTGTAATTCTAAATTTTATATAACTTAAGAATGGATTTTAAGGCATTTTAGAGAAATATTTACTCTGCTTTTCTTAAAGTGGGTCTCCAAAGCAAAGAAATTTTATAAAACTTTGTGTGTGCAACTCTGTCCGCTTTCTCTATGCTATCTTTCTAACACGACTACTTCTGCTTTTCACTCTAACATATCTTCGTTCTTCCCAAACTCACCTTACTCTTAGTCGGTAGAGCAGGTTATGACGCTCCCTTAGGACCCAAAACAAGTCTCTGCGGACCAAGGTAATGTGGGCTCCACAAGGCTATTAGCTGGCGGAGGATAAACCACAAAACCTCCAATGAACTCTCCAAGTCTTTGTTGGTTCGACTAACAGCACTATTGCACCTTACAATATAATATCCACATACAATAAAATTAATTTAAAAATATTTTTTGTTATAAATTTTTTTGGAAATATTTTTTATAGAATATGAATATTATTTTTTTGTTTGTACAAAAAAATAATATTCATTTTCTATAAAAAGTTTGTACAAAAAATAAAAAAAAGTACAAAATTTTGCTCATTTTTAGAACCATACTGTTAAAGAATTTTTTTTTGATAGTATTAGTGACCCGTCTGAAATTTTATAAAGAAATATTTAAAACTTTGTGTTATTTTATTATCTAGAACAGAGTAGAAATTTCTCTAAACAACAAATTTTGAAAATACTGATTAGCCAGTTGAATAAATTTTCTAGACATTTTCAGGAATTTATTGAATATTAAAGGTTTAATTAAGTAAAAGAAATAATATTGATTTAAGAAAAAATTAAAACTCCTGCAAAAGCTCCAGTGAGTAGTAGCAGTATGAACAATGAAAATTTGAAAAATAAAAAAATGGTATTAATGAAACTGTTAGTTGTTCTAAAAAGTTCTATTCTTAGAAAAATAAAGAACTTTGACCTATTGTCTCCAGCTATAAGGACTCACCTAACCAGGCTTAGGCTCTCTCAATAAAAAAATTTGTGGTTATGGAACATATAAAAAAATTTGTTTGTGGTTATGGCACATTTAAGAAAATTTGCTGTGAAAACTGGAACAAACAGTTAATGGTAATGTAAATAGTGTTAACAAGGTGAATCGAAATA